TTATATATAACATCATACCAAGTGTATTTTTTATTAATATATACATATATTAATATAAAAATAATTGTATGTGTATATATATATATATATATATATGTGTATATATGAGATATATATGTGTATATTATATCTATACATTATATATATATATATATGAATATATTTTATATATATATATATACATACATATCTTATATATAACATCTATACCCATATATTAATATAAAAATAATTGTATGTGTATATATATATATATATATATATGTGTATATATGAGATATATATGTGTATATTATATCTATACATTATATATATATATATATGAATATATTTTATATATATATATATACATACATATCTTATATATAACATCATACCAAGTGTATTTTTTATTAATATATACATATATTAATATAAAAATAATTGTATGTGTATATATATATATATATATATATATATATAATAAAAAATAAATAATAATAAAAATAGTTTTAAATAAATATATATATTTATAAATATATACACATGTAATTTTATTCTAACTATATTTTGATATGAATATGTATATATATATATATATATATATATATTTATATCAAAATACACTTAGAATGAAATTACATATATATCTATGCATATCCCCTTAACGACAGTGGACATACTATGTACAACCGCGGCAAATAGGAGCCCTGGACTTACCTGGAACGGCAATCCGCGGCAATCACGGTTGGGTGGTACTGCTTGAGACCCCAGCAGTCCCCCTGCAGCAGCTCCACTGCCCTGGCCCTCCAGGGCCATGTGATCACCGTAATAGGAGTCTAGGAGCTGCCAGCAAGGGGACTGTTTGTGCTGTCAGACAGTCCCCCAGGCTGCTAAAATGTAAAAAAAATATATATATATATATATATATATATATTATACATATATATATATATATATATATATGTGTATAATATATTATAAAATAATTAAAAGCATTTTAACATATTATACATATATAATGCATATATATGATTTCATTATAAGTGTACTTTGAGATTTATACACATATATCTCAAAATACACTTATAATGAAATCATATATATGCATTATATATGTATAATATATTATAAAATGATTTAATTATAATATATTATACATATATAGGAAATAAAAGTGTGTGTGTGTGTGTATATATATATATATATAAAAAATAGGAACTGTACCTTGCACACTGGCTTCTGGAACTTCCAAGACCGGGTGCATAGCCTGGGCTTCACAATCAATATAGGCAAATAGAATGGCTGCACTCTCGGATTTCCATAAAAAATAACTTTTATTCTGTTTCCTTAAAATCGACGTTTCAGTCCATCTTGTGGACTTTCATCAGGATTACCAATATTACACAATGTAAATCTTATATAGTGGATACAATCATTGTAAAATATGATAACAACTTACCCAAGGTGTTGAATGTGAGACCGGCGTCCTAGCCGCGGAAGTGCGCATGCGTGAATAAGCCCCGCTTCGTTTCGTGACGTCACCTCGTGCCGCTGCCGTCGCTGTCATGGCAACGCTAAAAAATGCGGTTTCCATGGCAGCTGGCAGCCACTAGTCTCGTAACCTGTGTACATGCAATGTTAATGTGGAAGAAATATATTCATTAATGGTGGTAGTGTGGGAATCCTTTCCCTGAGGTATATTAAAGTGCTAGAGGTGAAGTATACAGAATGAGAGGTGCAAATACACTCATCCCTCATCCCATCACTATGTATTGCTGTGGGATGATATAAAGTGCCAGTTAAGATGTGTTATTAACTTTTAAAGTGCCAAGTGCTGTGTTAGAAAATCAAAGTTAAACATGATTACAAATACGTGAAAAAATATTAACATACAAATCTATAGGCATCCTAACAATAAAATCAAAATACATATATATACATATTCACACTTTTATATATACATACATATATAGTAAAGTTGAAGTGACAGCTATATGACCATGGATTATGTTGCTTTATGGTAATATGAGTGACTGAAAAAGATTTATAGTACTAATCTTATATACTTTCTAAGTCCCAATTAACTAAAGTGGGATGGGTATATATTCATTTATTTATATTATCCCCCACTGTTCCACCCATTAAAGCTGTCACATCTACCAAACCATATATCTAGAACTATACAATATTAAAAATAATAAGTAGTAACTAGAGCAAGCAAGAGTCAAAAGGTGGTGTCATATAAATGAGTGTAAGGATAGCGCTTCATTTAGTCCATTAGGGGCAACTGTATTTAGTTCATATATCCAAAATGCTTCTTTATTCAGTAGCATTTTCCCCCTATCCCCTCCTCTTCTGGGAGGTGGTATATGGTCAATTGCTATGAATTTTAATGTAGCTAACATATGTCCTTTTTCCAAAAAGTGTTTCGCCACAGGTTTATCTGTATGGCCATCCCTGTATGCTAACCGAATGCTGGACCTGTGTCCTCTGATGCGTTCACATATTGCTGTTTCCGTCTTCCCTACATAACAAAGTCCACATGGACAGCTTAGTTTATAAATTACATGTGTAGTTTTACATGTAATTATATATCTAATTGTGTAGATTTTATTTCTGTGTGGGTGATTAAACGTCTTTGACGGCGTCATGTGACTGCATGTAACGCATCCTAGGCTTCCATGATTTGTTCCTAATAACTCGTAGGAACTGCGCTTTTGGTAATGAATTTTTAAGCGCCTTCGGATGTGCACTTTGATAATGGAGTATGGTGTTCCTGTCCGTAGGTTTGGTATACAGAGAGTATTGCAGTTTAGAGGATCAGATAAGCACAGATAAAAGAGATGAAAATTAAGTTCTTACAAAGGGGTTATGATAATTGCATCCTCGAGACAGCGCTTCAAGAAGTTTTGAAAAAACCTCATAGGTGAAACGCGTAAATGGTTTTAAAAAGTGTATTTTAAATCAATAAAAGTTATTTTTGGTTAGCCTTTTATACGAGGACCAATCTTATACTTATTTTTATTGTATTTTATACATTTCAACTACTCCTGGCACTTTCATATATTGTTTTTATACTATATCTTTTTATTTTTATTTTTTATTTTTATTTTTAATATTTATTTCTTAAAACACCATAACCCTGAAGTGTATCCTGTCCAAAGAAATCCTCAGGTGGGGATAATTCCACCAGCGCTGTGGTAATAGAGCAGTATTTGTCTGCTCTATTCTTGTAAGTATAACTTATTTTCTTAAAATATTTTTACTGTTCATACTGAGAGCACTATCTACTGTTTTATATATTTCGTGGATACCCATTATTCCAACTGGAGAGGCGGACCTATCTCCCCAAGCACCATAGAACTACGCACATCTGAGCAGGTTCCAGTCTACACCAAGGAAATCCAAAGTTGTGACAGACGGACCCATCACTAAAGTGTATCCGATAGTGGGGATTAAACCACTAAGTGCCTCTTCTCCTAGAGCTGGGTCAAGCTCCATCAAATGTGAGTGGATTACTTTTCTCTTGATTTATACATCACATCTAGACGTACTATATTTCACCATTGGAAGCTCTCTATCTGTTTTTATTTCCACATATATGGACTATCTGCCACCACACGGACGGATCAACACCTGGGGAATATTACCCTACCATCACATATCAGTGAGACTGTCTTTATCCATTTTTAGACGAACTTTGTCTATTGACTATATTCTATTTTTTTTATTATTGTTTTTTAGCGCAGCCCTTTCCCCCCTTTTTTTGTATTTTACTGTCTCTACAAGGGTTTCTTGAGGGATTCCCTTATAGGGTTGCTGCTCCTCCGGTTTAGCGCAGACTCTTCTCCCCCCTTTGTTTTATGTATATATATGTATTTTGATTTTATTGTTAGGATGCCTATAGATTTGTATGTTAATATTTTTTCACGTATTTGTAAGCATGTTTAACTTTGATTTTCTAACACAGCACTTGGCACTTTAAAAGTTAATAACACATCTTAACTGGCACTTTATATCATCCCACAGCAATACATAGTGATGGGATGAGGGATGAGTGTATTTGCACCTCTCATTCTGTATACTTCACCTCTAGCACTTTAATATACCTCAGGGAAAGGATTCCCACACTACCACCATTAATGAATATATTTCTTCCACATTAACATTGCATGTACACAGGTTACGAGACTAGAGGCTGCCAGCTGCCATGGAAACCGCATTTTTTAGCGTTGCCATGACAGCGACGGCAGCGGCACGAGGTGACGTCACGAAACGAAGCGGGGCTTATTCACGCATGCGCACTTCCGCGGCTAGGACGCCGGTCTCACATTCAACACCTGGGTAAGTTGTTATCATATTTTACAATGATTGTATCCACTATATAAGATTTACATTGTGTAATATTGGTAATCCTGATGAAAGTCCACAAGATGGACTGAAACGTCGATTTTAAGGAAACAGAATAAAAGTTATTTTTTATGGAAATCCGAGAGTGCAGCCATTCTATTTGCCTATATATATATATATATATATATATACACACAAACACACATACACATACATACATACACACGTGTATATATATATATATATATATATATATATATATTTATTATAAATTGAAGGGAAAAAAAAACACTTAGAAAAAACAAATAAAATCGCTAATTGTGGCAAGCGTTTGTGACTAAGTTAACAAAAAACAGAGAGTGGAGTCAGCGCTAATATATCAGAAAGAGATACAAAGGGCAGCAATCCCAAACAAGGACTCCCTCAAGTGTCCTTGAGATAAATACAGAAAGCAAACAAACAGAAGGATGGGACTGCGCCAATAAACAAAATTTAAAAAGTCCTAATTGGGGTATTGAAATAAAGTCCAATGTAATGAAACTTGGTCTTATGTTGGTCTCTGAAGTTGTGGAATTTTGCTCCTTACTGATATATGGAGGAGGGCGATGGATGATGAGATGGTAGAGAATGATCCAAAAGGTATCCAAATAAAAAAAGAAGAGACAATACTCACTTTTAGTAGAGATTAATCCAGCTCTGGTATGAATAGCTTGCAGCGGTATTATCCCCATTTGTAGGATATCCAGTGAGCTTCCTCTTCAGTGTAGTGACAGGCAACCAGGGGGAAAATAAAACAAAAAGCAGTGATAGTGCAGTATGCCCCAAAAGTGGATAAAAAGTATTAAAATATAATAGATACACTCACATTTAATAGAGCTTATACTAGCTCTAGTATAATAGGCATGCAACGGTATGATCCCCGTCTCTGGGATATGTGGTGAGCGTTCTTTGAAATAGTTCTTTAAGATGGTAACAGGAGCTCTGGGAGAAGATAATAAAACAGCAATAGTGCTCTCAGTAAAATAATGCTGGTATATAAAATATAATAAAATATACTCACAATGTATAGGGCAGACTAACTGCTCTATGGTATAGGCACGGGTGGTATGATCCCCACCTCGGGCTTCTTTGGAGTATAGGAGACAATAGATAAAAAGCCAGGTAATTAAAAAATAAAAATAAATAAAAGATAATGGTGCAAAAGAATAAAATGACCAAAATCTATTTATTAACAGTAATTAAAAAAACAGTACAATATCCAAACGCGTTTAACCAATATAGGCTTCATTTTAATTTTAACTTTTTAATTTTGTTTATTGGCGCAGTCCCATCCTACTGTTTGTTTGTGACTAAGTGGCTGCTACAAAAGGCTGGAAATACCTGATTTGGAATACCCTGGGTTTATCTACATTTGAAAAAGGTATGCCAGGATGGGGTTATTTCACGGTATATATGTGTGAGTACAGTAAATGAGTAAGAGGAAATATGGTCTCAAAAGGCAACACATACCCAGCAAACTGAATTGGGCAAGTCCTATACTGACCTGTAACTTTCCAAAACACCATAAAACCTGTACATGGTGGGTATTGTTATACTCGGGAGAATTCACTGAACACAAATATGAGTGTTTAACACAGTAAAACTTATCATGACGATGAAATCACCTGTAAAAACTCAGTTTTTGTGTAAAAAAAAATGCAAAACACAAATATGACCGCTAACTTTGGCAAGTGTTTGTGGCTAAGTGGCTACTACAAAATACTGGACATACTCCATTTTGAATACCTTGGGTTGTCTACTTTTACAAATAGTATGCCATGATGGGGTTAATTTCATTTGAACAGTGGCCACCCAGCATTCATCAATTAAGCTGCGGTTAACCGCAGCTTCTGGGAGGTAAATCACTGGCACACTCCTTACCCAGGTGGTCCATTCATTCGTGAGTTGGTTTGGTAGATTCAATCTACCGAACACCCAGGCAGAAAGGCACAAACAAGCCTTTCTGCAGGGTAAAATACAAGCTTTTAACATGGGGCCATAGTCCAGAGGCAGCAGACGAGCAACCAGGCTTCTCCAGAACATAGTGGCGAGGTTGGACTCGTCACATCAATGCGTAACAGATTTTGGGGGTCAAAGTTAGAAAAGGTGTGGTTTTTTACATTTTGTCATCATATCTTATAATTTTTTTATAGTTAATTATATGATATAATGAAAATAATTGTATCTTTAGAAAGACCATTTATTGGCGAGAAAAACGGTATATAATATGTGTGAGTACAGTAAATGAGTAAGAGGAAAATTACAGCTAAATACAAACACTGCAGAAAGAGCCCTGGACCTTAACGGTAAGAAAATTGAAAAACGGTCTGGTCACTGAGGGGTTAAACAAACACTACAAGGGTTATCTACTAAAGTGAGAATTCAAAGTGAATTTCAAATTTAGGGCTAAAGTAGCCAAACTGAAATCACAGCTGACTTAGAAATGTTAATTCTGACTATTTTGACATAAAATTTGAAATTCACTTTTAATTCACAATTAATTCTCACTTTAGTGAATAATCCCGTATGTATACAGACAGAAACATGCACATAGCATCATAAACCCATTTCTACTCACCTTCACTCTATGGATCTTTGACAGATAATTCACAAAGAGATTGTCTGGTACAGGACTCTGCAGGAAAACACGTAGCAGAAATTAGAGAAAAGGGATACATGAAAGAATGCACAACTGTGAATATTATACATATAGTAATACATAGTAACCAAGGTTGGAAAATGAAAATGACAAACAAGTACATTCTGTCAATCCATTTTTTTTTTTTGCTGTTCCAAAATTCAAAAAGAAGGCAAAAAATAAATATTTTTAAGCAAATGTGCCACAAAAAGTGAAAAAATGTTTCTTGATTCAATAATGGCAATCAGAATTGTCCTTAGATCCACAACCTGTTCCCGTGCATATTAATGGGACACTACTGGCACCAGTACCACTTTATTGCATTTGATAGGGTTTGGCCTGATAAATATGCTGCATTTTTTGCATCATCAAATCTTCATAGTTTTGCACCATAAGCCTGCCTCTTTAGCTACACCTTCTCACTCCACAAAAATACTTTCTTATCAAACACATTCACACAGCCCAGGCACTGACAGTACTGAATGATCTGAACAACAAGACAACCTGTATTAGAAGGAGCGGACACACAGGGAAGCATTTAGTAAGGTTATCCCTACCTGTTTGTAGTTTCTTTGACTGTCTGCAGCCAGGCTGTGAATTAAAGGTCGCTCACTCGATGCTGTTTGGGCTGAGACTGTATGCATACTTTCATAAGGAAGTCTTTCTGGCATGAGGGGGTGTGTCTAAGGAGGCAGGCTTACAGGGTACAGGATTATGCATAACATAATTTTTTTTTGTGCAAAAACTAAAGATTTTAGTATGCAACAAAATGCTGCATGTTAAAGGACCACTCTAGGCACCCAGACCACTTCAGCTTAATGAAGTGGTCTGGGTGCCAGGTCCCTCTAGGATTAGGATTTTTTTTTTATAAACATAGCAGTTTCAGAGAAACTGCTATGTTTATAAATGGGTTAATCCAGCCTCTAAAGCCTCTAGTGGCTGTCTCATTGACAGCCGCTAGAGGCGTTTGCGTGCTTCTCACTGTGAAAATCACAGTGAGAAGACGCCAGTGTCCATAGGAAAGCATTATGAATGCTTTCCTATGAGAAAGGCTGAATGCGCGCGCAGCTCCTGCCGCGTATGCACATTCAGCCGAAGAGGAGGATCGGAGGCAGAGAGGAGGAGGAGAGCTCCCAGCCCGGCGCTGGAATAAAGGTAAGTTTAACCCCTTTCCTCGCCATTCAGCCCAGCGGGAGGGGGTCCCTGAGGGTGGGGGCACCCTCAGGGCACTATATTGCCAGGAAAACGAGTATGTTTTCCTGGCACTATAGTGGTCCTTTAATGAGGTTATAATCTATCATATGCATTAAAGTTGTATTGGTGCCTGGACTCAGTTGTATATTTGAATATTCTGAATAACTGACTCCAAAAATACCATATAATTACAAAAAAAGCATCCAGGCCTTTTTAAAAAAATGTGTACAGGATTTGAGAAGACAACCGCTATAGGCAGATAGTTCAACACCTTTATTGTTCTTATTAGAACTCTTTCCTCTGCTAAGTGAAAATGCCTTTTATGTTGTTACTAGCTCGAAATAAAATAATGTGTAAGTTGCTTGTGGGTTGCTTATTACAAAATGCGTGACTTTGCATATCTGTATTAAAGGGATACTATAGGGCCAGGAATATAAAGCTGTATTCCTGGCACTATAGTTCACTCTGCCTTTCCCCTCCCACCAGTGAATAAAGGGTTAAAAACCCTTTATCTCCTCACCTTATCTCAGCGCCAATGTCCCTCGGCGCTGGGTTGACGCCCCACCCCCTCATCCATCCCGAGACGAGCAGGCGCTAATGCACAAGCGCTCACATTAGACCTAGGGGAAATCTGACGCTGGATGTCCATGAGGACGTCCAGAGTCAGATACCGGACCAAAGATCGGTTAATATAGCAAAATCTTGTATTCAAGCCAGAAGCTGTAACTCTCCATGCTGTTTGCCTCAGAAAAAAACAAGCAGTTTGCTGACATCATCAGAAGTGGTGGTCTGATCCAATCACAATGCTTCCCCTGAGACTGATAAAGAGGCAAATCAGGGGCAGAGCCAGCACAATTCAAATGCAGCCCTGGCCAATCAGCATCTCCTCATAGAGATAAATTGAATCAATGAATCTCTATGAGGAAAGTTCAGTGTCTGTATGCAGAGGGAGGAGAAACCGAATGTTTGGATGCATTTTAGGCAGCCATGACCCAGGAAGGATCTCTAACAGCCATCTAAGGAGTGACCAGTGAAGTTATCACTAGGATGTAATGTAAACACTGCGTTTTCTCTGAAAAGACAGTGTTTACAGCAAAAAGCCTGAAGGTAATGATTCTACTCACCAGAACAAATTCAATAAGCTGTAGTTGTTCTGTTGACTATAGTGTCCCTTTAAGCAATCTGGGTGCTCTCTCCTGGGTGTAAAACATTGCAGTTTTTAAGAAACTGAAAAGCTGTGCCTCCTCTTTGATGTCACAGGAGACAGAGGTAACACCTGAAAAAAGGTGAGTAAAAATTATTAATTTTTATTTTGACGGGGTAAACACCTGTTTTACATAGGGATATGGATACTAAAGCATTAGGAATATGATTTAGTGTTCATGTAATGATGATTTTGTGAGATAAATCTTTTGAAAAGTTTTTCTAACAGATTGTGATCATTTAAAGGCTTATCAAAATGATTTAATCAAGGCCATTGTTATAAAATTATGAATGGGTCAAAAACTTAAATGAATATTATTTGAGCTTAGTTTAAGCATTCACATGTAGTGATGATGTTCTCAATACTAAACTTAGTTTTAAAAAAGTGATATTTTAAGCAGACAAGTTAGAATGTGTATTAAACACAAATACCTTGAACTTGAGGAATATGTTATGTCATCAGAATTTTTAAATGTTACATGAGTACGTGCATTTAGTTAATCAGCTACAAGGATTGCACAAACGTATGACGCAATAATGAGCTAATAAAGCTCATACATTTTCTCATGAACTAAAACTCGGAAAACAAACCAGCTATGTTTGGAGGATTACAAAGTAGAGAATTTAAAGCCATGTGTAGGAACGGGAGGCTATTGCCTTGTCTTTCATCAACTGAATGTGTTGGACTATTGTAGGAAAGTATGCTACCACAGGAGCTTTCAGATCAGCAAACTGATTTACAGGTGATAACTATAATCACTACAGCCCTGACACCCTCCTTCCTTTGTAAGTAGTCAAACCATTTAAATAGAGAGGGCACAAATTCCTGATTCCAGCTTCCGCTCAAGCTTCAATAGAACCAGAAGATCCTGCTTACGGGTTTCTGTTTGCTCTCCTGAGCTAAGCCTTGCATGGTCAGCTTATAATTACAGTTAATTATATAGTGCAAACGTATGCTGCAGCGCTGTATGATCAAATTATTTATCTTGTTTTATCTAACAAAATATGTTTGACAAAGAGGACCCTTGCCAAACATGTTTACAATCTAAAAGGTTGGGGGACAGATACAAATACACAGAGGGAAGTGAGGGAATAAAATGACCTGTATCATAGATCATAGGATGGATGATAACAGAGGAAGGTTATGAAGACGAGGAATTAATGGGCAAGTTGATAGGTTTCTTTAAAGAAGTGTCTAATTAAATGAACTCTACACAATGCTAATAACAAAATCACGGTTTAGTAGATGTACCCCAAATAATTACATGCATGCATTTTTCATGTATGTAGTCATTGGAGGCATGTCTTAAAAGACGATGCAAAAGCAGCAATTCTTAAGAAGTGTAGCCTGTGCAAGTCCTCTCCATTTTCTCTGGCCGACTAGATGGGCCGCATGGTTCTTATCTGCCATCACATTCTATGTTTCAAAAAGTCTTTCAGTGTAACCTAAAATAATAATAATAACAACAACAACAACCTATCAAAGGCTTCCTATTGAGAAGAGCGCGCCACCCACTTATGTAGCTTAGTGGAGCTACTGAAAGTACGAGACAAACCTCCCTGGCTATGTGATTGACAATCAGAAGGTGTTTCATTATTTAATGGGAAAAGTGCAGATTTCTCAATGAAATTTGCACTTTTATATAATGTGTCTTAAATGGGGTTCTCCTCATTCACAAAGCATTTCACCAAGCTGACGTGTTTTATGGGTTTGAAGATGTCCTTTGAGGATTTTTTCTAAGGACTGCAGAAATGGGGAGAGTCAAATTTGTCATGGGTGGGAATCCTACACAGATAAGAGTCTGGGATGTGTGTTTGAGAGCGAGAAAGTAACTGGTTCTTTAAAGAGAGAAGAAGCCAGGCTGGACATATCTGCTAATGAGGGAGAAGATATAAGCAGGGGTACATTTATGGAAAGCTTTGTAGGTCAGCACACTATGTTTGAACCAAATCTTAAATAAAATAGGAAACCAGTAGCATGCTAGTGGGACAGTGGTGGTAGTCCAGCTTAGGTGACAGCTGGGAGGGAGGTGCACAGAGCACTTCCATCATGCTTGTCACTATCTGTAGCATGGCCACACTGGACCCGGATAGCTTATTTCATTATTCTTTACTTAGGTCTCACAGGGAGGGAGCTTCTTCTCCGATACAGGCAGTGGAATATGCCCACAACAAGACAACAGGAACCACATGGATTCCATCTCTCTCTATTCCTACCCAGTGCTCAGTAACAGAAGGAGATTTAAAGGAGATTTAATGACTGTTTGTGTGACTGAATGTGACTTTATGTGACTTTGGGTGGTTGTGTGTATGTGACTTTGGGTGATTGTGTGTGAAATGAATGTGACTATATAACTGTAGGTGACTGTATGTGACAACTTGAGGGGGGCAAGTAACCTTGGTATGCCTTTGAAGGAAGCCGGTGTAGAGCCTGACTGTGGGGTGGATGTGAAAAATGAGAAATAAGGTACCTATATGAATCTGTCAGAGGCATTCATTATGGACCATAAAGAGGCAGCCTAGGCATGTTTCAGATAAGCAGAGGGTTACAATAATTAAGGTAGGAGACAATGAGAGCATGGATAAACATTTTGGTCCAGTCCTTAGTGAGAAAGTAGCAAATTCAGGAAATCTCTTTAAGTTGCAAACAACAGATTTGTTGATAGATTTTATGTAAGGGGAGAAAAAATGTCAGAGTCAAAGAGCACACCGAGACAACGTAGAGGTAGAGGTTATGATAGATCTGTTGACCTGAAGGGAAACAGGGACAGATGCAGCCTTAGATGAAAGAAAGACGAGAAGGTTGGTCTAGGAGAGGTTGAGTTTTAGGAATCATATATTCATCCATTCAGAGACAGAGGATAGACAGTCTGTGACAAGATCCAGCAGATCAGGAGAAAGATCAGGCAAGGAGAAGAATATCTGGATATCATCTGCGTACAGGTGATATTGAAAGCCCTAGGATGATATTGGATCACCAATACCTTGATTAAACATTTTCGGCAAAACCCAACATTATCAACTGATTTGTCCAGTTTTGTTAGTAATATTGAACTGGGTTTAAGGGCAGTCAAAATTCTCACAGCTGAACTCAACGGGTTGCTTGCTCAAGAAAAAATCCTCAGATAAATGTGCTTCAGAATCACATTTATTTACCTTTATATTGACTAACCATTTTGTTTGACAATCTTTATTTCAGAGTTTGTGCTTTACATAATTTGTCAAA